ATATATATATATATATATATATATATATCTAATTATACACACATTGTAATTTTTATTTTACTATATATATATATATATATTCGTATATATAATGATATACGCGACATTATGTTGACATGAATCCAAATTTATTAGATACGAACCTAACACCAAGCGACCCAGCTTGGATCGGCGCATGGTGGTTGGGGTTTCTCCTGATTGCCGTGCTGCAGTGGATAATTACCGTACCAATGGCCATGTTCCCAAAGTACTTATCAACAAGCACCCCGCAGCGCGAGCCTATGGCCGGACATGATGCCTTCACAACTGGGAAGACAACGGCGGAAGTCGCGGCTAAGGGAAAGATGGAGGGAAAATCCCTTCGCGCTTATTCAAGAGGTGTGACGTGATGAACAGTATATATACACTGCATTCATAGACGAAAGAGAAATGTGGTAGAGACCCAAACAAGTAAACGAATGAAGCTATAATAATTTAACAATAGCATAGTAATATTAACATACATATTATTATCAAATACGTCTATTCCAAACCTCGATTACCTATATTAATTCCGTAATATAAATAAGATAGGATCAAGGGTACAAAAATCTGTCATACGCGCTTGATATAGAAATCAATGTAAAAATATTATATGATAATAGGTGTAATATAATATCAGAAAATTTATCATAAAAATTTAATCATTATTATCATAAAAAAGAACACTATGAACTCAGCTGATGTTATTCCAAGCCTTACGTGGCTATTATATTTGTCGCAAACTCTTTCAGATTTAAGCACAGCAATTCGACGGCTACTGAAGAACAGGACTTACGTCTTGGTTCTACTCGGTGCGATGTTCGATGTCTACGTCGTCGTTTGTTACCTCATCTTTCTACCAAAATATTTGGAAACACATTTTCGAATACCCGCCCATAAAGCTAGCATGTACACGGGTAAGTAGGCGACAAAATCTAATATGAATACCTAGAGCTGCAGAACGCGTGTGCTGAACTTGCTTTAGTGCTTCATCTGCTATTGCAGCTGCTGCTGATTTTTGACATGAATGAATTAACACAGATATTTGTGGATTTAAGCTAGGATAAGTGATCAAATACATAAAAGTGCAAGTAAAAATACATGTTATTATAATATGTTACATGGGAGGCAACTGTGGTATAAACTGTACGCATTCTCGTTAATAAATAGAAACGAGCGTCGAGTTTGAGTTTTCGCACCGTCAAATACGTTAAGAAGAACCTGAAGAGGTTATATCGTACGTGCAGGAACAATGGGACTCCTGTCTTCGTGCGTCGGCATATCGGTGAGCGCCTTCTTTATGACAAAAGCCAAGATACAGCCGAAAGGCGCCATCGCCATGATTATATTCGGCAACGTCGTCACAGTTGCGTCCCTCGTAGTTTTCGTGTTCCTTGGATGCGAAAACGTGGATTTTGCTGGAGGACAGCTAACTGATTCGGGGTATGCACGCAACCATCTCATAGAAACTAAGCGTCTAATCATATCTATCAATTCATATATCAAAAATAAATATAATATAATATAATATATTTATATATAATATAATATAATATAATATAATATATATTATATATATATAATATATAATATAGAATATAATATAATCAATTCATATTTCAATATCAATCATGTCGTCAATCATATCTATCATAGATCTACTAAGCGTCTCCCTCAAGCGGTGCTATATAATTTTATTAGAGAGGAATTATTTATAACCGTATAGCGGATTTGTGAGGGAGACGTTAATGCAAGGATTTGTGAATGTTGCAACAACGAGTTTTCATCTTTTCGCTATATCGGTTCGTCATTACAAGAGATATTTTCCTTTTAAATGTAACATTTTGGGTCCGTTAGTTTGATTACTCGGTGAAATATAGAAAGAAAGACACGCATTTTGTCTGTTGTTCCCGACCAGGCCTGGCTAATGCTAGCCTTGTACGCCGTATCTGGCTTTGCTAATATGCAGGTATTGGAGCGCCCACATGAACAACAACTACAAAGCAAGTAAATATATATATATACACAGTGTTACACACACACACACACACACACACACACACACACACACACACACACACACACACACACACACACACACACACACACACACAC